TTCTTGGAAACCATTGGTTTACTGAACTATTAATCAAACATATTTTTTTTTCCTCCTGAAAACAACATGTGTGCATGCCTGAGAGAGGAAAAAGAAAGGGTATCTAAATAAAATAAAACACTGCAACCAGTGTAGAGAGGACCTCTATCCTTCTCCATGTAAATACCCAAGACTTGAACACAGTTTGTTCCTTTGTGTGCAAACCTCCATTTCAATCAAAGTCATAACGACTTCTGTCCTGCCATTTAGAAAGAACTCCAGGTTTAAAAACTACAGCCTGAAACACCAAACGAAATCCACTCCCCGCCACCCCCCAAAAGAAAAAAAAAGAAAATCAAACTTACTCCTCCTCACATTTCTTTTGACTTCTGGTGTAACAATCCAGAAAGGACATATATGGGTGCACTCAGACAGTTTTTGCAAGAGCAACAAGAAGTCAGTCTGATGTTCTTAGAGCAACCACTAAAACTGTAATTCACCAATGGACAAAATTTTAGTTTGTGTGAAAAATTACGTTCTTCCAGGGTGTGATTTAAATGAAATCTCACATCAGTCAATATCTATGGATGTCTGCATGAGGAAAAGATGGGTCTTCTCCCAGCCCTGGAACTGTAACAGCCAAGAAAGGAGTCCATGATATAATTTTGATCCTAGATACACTTGAGCACTGTCTGAAACCTGATTGTGCGTGACTTCCAGAGAACATTAGCTGCAAAAAAATGTTAGCTACAGCCCCAAACTTCCAATCTTTTTCATTTTTATAGTTTCATAGTCTTGCAGGCTTGAAAATTCCTGAGAGAGCATGTGGTAGAACAAAAAATAAGTGTGAGTAACATATTCTTGCAATTGGTGCCAGCCCAGTGGGACTGAAAATCTGTTGTCCAAAGATATAGGGAAGCAAACAATAGCACAGGAATATTCTTCTTTCAGAAAGTTAGAAGCTCAACATCTCTGCATGAGACAATAAAAAAAAAAAAGAGATGAAAAATACGAAGCTGTTATGTATCTAACTGAAATCTTCAGCTTGACCCAAAGGCCAGAGTCTCATTTGTTTTCAAACACCAAACCTTCTGGAGAAATCTTCAGGAGAAAAACAAGAATGTGAATTTGCATCCAAAACTGCTTTGAAAGATGCACCAGAATAAAGTGATATATCTCATTATTTCTTAATCTCCTTAAAGTGTGGCCTGTTGCCAGAAGCGGCTGTCCAGGATCCAGGACTATGATTCACAGATGTGACAATCAGTCCTAAACCCAAAGATGCCCAGTTACATGTTTGCTTGATTCCATAGACTGAGAGGTCAAGCGATTGCTAGAATGTGGAATGAAGATGAAACTTCACTACACACACACACACTATAAACCAAATGGCACCCTTTGGTCACTAGGTCAATCCTGTGAGACCGCATGTAATCCAGAGTAATCTAGAATTTATGCCAATTTAGGTCCTGTGCTTACAGAGCAACAGAGGAAGCTTGATCCCTCAAAAAGCAAGAGCATCATGGGCAAATGATTCTTAGTTGGGAAAAGAGTTAAGTGGTAAAAAGAACACACCAAATTCTTTTGAACAAATCCAAGACCTCGGTGAGTTTATACAGGATTTTCATTTTGAGTTTTATACATATGGCACTTTTGATCTAGGCAGAAAGCCCAAAAGTTATTGTTACTGCATCTGTATTACAACCCAAGTACAAATTAGAAGGTAGGTTAAGTGTTTTCAAGTGCCTTCCAACAACTTTAAAGGAATAAAAGACGATATTTCAAAAAAGAGGCACCCCATGCAAAACGCTAACCTAAATTCATCATCTCCTTCCTTTGAATGGACAAAAGAAACATCTGTTAAGGAAGTCATAACAACATAGCTGCCTAAATATGCTGCTGAAATAAAACAAACTAACCTTGTTTCCAGAACAATCAATTCTGCATTCTACTTCTGAATGAGTTCTTGATGGAAAAGGGCAGAATAATAGTTAAGACATACCTTTGCAAAAACAAAGACTCAAATCATTTTCCTATTATTATCTACACTGCAATCATATTTTTAAGAGCAGTATCTCTAAAGCATGACAGAAATGCTATTTTGATGCATTTCAAAGCCCTCCCTAGCAAGGTCACTTTGTAACAGAATGAAATGGTTGTCAGCAGATTTTTTTTTTAAAAAACAATGACAAAAATGAAGTTGGCCCTTACTTGAACAACTACAGACAAAAAAAAGGCAAAGAACAATTTCATCTTCTCTCCTACTTCCCGCTAAGAGGAGAGTTTTCAGGTACCAGGGTATAGTTCCCTTGGAAACCTCCTCTTATTTTGTAAAGAACTTGCTAACAGACAAGTGTGAGGCAGCTGATTTATTTAACAGATATCCCAAAAGGGTCAATAACTTGACTCTACTATATTTATGAAAATATTTGTGTATCAAAAGTTAAAACATTATTGATTATTTAACATGAATGGTTAATCATTAAAGTGTAAAATGATTCTCACTTGAAACAAACGTTTCGTTTTCAAAAACATGGGTGCCAGTGAATACATGTCAAAAATCCACTCTATTCTGCACACAAATCTTTGGCTAGTTGTGACTGCCACAAGCACTCAAAGACAGGAATAAATGCATTCACTTGCACAAACCATGATCACTTCATCAGGTCACAAACAGTCTGTCTTTTAACAAATAAGGTTAACACAAGTTTTCCTCCTCCAATTCCGTTTCTTCTACTTCATAATGAAGGAAAACTAATTATTTTTTCTGCGTGTTACTTACATTATGATCATCACGAACATCAATGAGAATGTACATACGTTGACTAGTAGCTGACCTAACCTGAAACTAGCTCCTGGGAGCTACAGTGTTCCCAGTGCAGCTGGGAGATTAAGACAACTCTAAATCTCCAGTCTAGGTCTACAGTCTCTTCTGATGAGCTAGACATAAGCCTGTTCAACTCAAAAAGCCAGTGAAACACATCAGCGCAGGCCCATGACAGTAAGTGTCGCTGCACGTATTGCATATCACCCTACTAATGCAACCCTGAGACCCAAACGGTCCCACGGCTTTCCCTTGGGGAAGGGACAGGGCTACAGCTCAGCTCCTTGCAGCAGCCTGGGCACACATGTGCTCCCGAACACTCCACCCAGCTCCCGTACGGGATTTTCCATCTTCCACACAAGTTACCTATCCACATCATCACACAATCTTTATTACAAGCTTTTAGGAAGGTTGCTTAGTAGGGTGACAGATAATCTAGCATTCTTGTATCTGCTAATGAAAAAATACTGAGCGCACGTGCTGGCGCTGTCACGACGGGCTGTTTGGAGACAGACCGAAATAAACACAGCCGTTTGTAGCAGTCAATCTGAATGCAGCTGTTTAACACCGCTACAGCGGGCGCCTGACACCCAACGTGCTAAAAGAATGATTACACACCGCAAACATCAATCACCCGGCACAACAGGAATATAGAGTCATTGTAATAGAACAATATCACATGATAAATACCTTCCCCCTTTAAATCCTTGCGCCTCAGCGTTTAGAGATGATGTATGGCCAGGTTTCACCTTGACATTTTTCCCCTTAGCAACAGACCACTGTCCTCACGACATTTTCCCTTGAAGACAGATCATACACATTTTGGGGGAAGAATCAAATGAACTTAGGTATCTATGAGAGAAAGAAACAACTACTATTCAAATTAGGAAATTTAGACTAGGAATTACTTTCTTCTACACACTGCAATAAAATGACGAATGTGGCTCCCTCTTTGTCATGCAGAAGTAACATTTATCAGTAGTTCCTCAGACCCTACTTTAGCACATTTTCTTTTCCTCTTCCTCCTCCTGTTCTAGGTGGAACGGATTATTCCTAGGACATGAAAGTAGTACTTTATAGAACTCTTCCACTGATGGAAGCTTTTTCTCCTGAAGAATCTATTTCCTTACATCCTTTTCAGCTATTTGTCAAAACAGCTTTTTTCCTTCCCTCAATGACCACCCCTAACTCCACTGTTACAGGTTATGATTTTAAACCATTAACATTGTTAACTCCACTTGAAGTTGACTTCAACTTCTTCCTCCCAACTTCCTGACCTACAGCACACAAAGTGCCACTGAAAACTAAGATTTTGTGACATACAGCTAAGGTTGTGATTTTGCTCTTTTTTATGAGGCACAGGAAAAATGTGGTAAAGAAGTCACATCATATTGTTGTATACTTAGGGGTTGGAGAAGCATTATTACAGTGATTTGACATAATAGTTTCAGCAGTTATGTGCAAGCAGTGAAATGGAGGCTAAATGAGATCATCTCAAAAGGATACTAATGAAACTTGTATTGCTTCACAACCTCATGAAATTTTTGAGACTTACTTCTCAGACACCATTTCTTTTCAAATTCCCCTTTCTAGTATATTAATGCTATCTTTCATTTCTCACCACCTGCAAAGCCATGCTCACTTACTGTTCAAGGTTCAAAACCTTACAGATTGATAATAATAATAAGGCAATAATAAACTCATTTTAACACTCTCTAGAATAAAGCAGTACAGCCAAAAACTTCACTTGCTCCCTTGTCAGCACAGACAGTCACTGCACTCTGTGACAGCCCAAATTCAGCACCCAATCTGGAGCTCAAGTGATTCAAGGAACGGGAAATGCTGCCTATGACAGAGCACTGCACTATTATAGCCTGAAGTTCATCATTGCTGGTAATACAATTGGATTTCACAAAACCAGTTTGTAAGTAATTGCATATGAACTGCATACAGTTGCTCACAGTTTACACATGATTACAGTTTGATTGCAGAGACAAACATACCAACAGTGAGCTCAATTTATCCAAGAGATGTGAATGGATTGTAAATGGATTACATAGACTTAAATCCATTTGTGTAAGTAGACTCAGTAAATATTTTTCAGTTGTGAATTCATGCAGGATGCTAGGTGAGGGTTTTCAGTAGTTCATCCTGCTCAGGTCTGAAGTGAATGGAGTCTTCTGCTACCTGGACTCACCTGCTTTTCACAGGCCTTGTTCTTTCTTCTCATCTCCTTTTTTTTCTCTCTTTATTCTGTTGGATCCAATCAAAAGTCTGTTACAGGCAACAGAGTGATTTCCATTCATACCAATTTTGAATAAGACTATTATGTTATAAACTTGTAACATGGGCAATTACATATAATTCTTACCTATTTACAATGACAGTTATATGAACTTCATCATGTCCTACTGCAGTGATACAAAGAGGAGAGGGAAAATTGCCCACATAACATGTCAAATACTGATACTGAGAGAACTGCCAGGGGTTTAAATATATTTAAGTTCAAGTACCCTGTCAGTCTGTTAGTTCTCAGAGAGCTTAGTTAAAATTTATCAAGCTTTTCAAATGTCTTAAGCCTGCTCTATCAGAAATCTTTCCATAACAGCCTTTTCAGGCGTTACCAAAACGGTCAGTTGTGGTCTCGCCCACACTGTCACAGGGAGACGTTTTCTAGAACTTTCTCAGTGCTGCAGGCTCTGCGATTGCAGCTGGTGAATGTGACGCCCATGGGACGGGAGCACCAGCCACCCAGGGCCCGCCACGACACGGCCAACCCAGTGAGCTACGCGAGTTGCGGGACCAGGGCCTGAAGAGCAAAACACATTCAGTACTGAGGGACAATTCAGTTATGAATTTGGCTTGGTTTTAAACAGGAATTGGAATAGGGCGAGATGGAGACTTTATTTCTCCTTCTCCCTTTTCCCCCCAACACATTGAATCCGCCTTTTATTGCACAGAAAGAACAAATTACAAGAGATAAACACAGCAACAAAAGCAAAGAAAAAACTGCAGCCACAGTTACTGATTAACACAGAGATAGAATAATCCTGCTCCTCCTCTTAAAAAGAAAGAAATCCCACCCTTAAACAAAGGAGACAAATAAAAAAAGAGCAAGATGTCCTCCCTGAAGGATGAGGGATTTTTTTTGCCTTACCTTGTTTTTTCTTGACTCATCAATGAGGATAAGAGTTCTCCCTAAAATGTTGAGAAAGCCACAGTCTTAAAAGAATGTTTGTTAGCGAGACATTTAAATAAGAAATACTCTTTTAAATAAGAAAGACTCTTTGTGTTGCTTAATAACACACCTGGCTGATACGGAGCTATTGCATCATTTTAAATTGACAATCTAACCCACTTTTGTTTACAGTACATTCAAAAAAAGCTTTGTGAAAGGAAAAAAAAAAAAAGAAATGAAAAGAAAAAAAGTCAGGAGCTTACTGCTATGCTTATATATGTTTATATCTTCAGTGATAACAAAGGCCACGCCAAGCTGGCAGGCCAACCTAGTACCTCGGAAGTTAATGAAGTTAAGCCTGTTCAAACCAGCTTAGAATTTCATTCAGAATTGTGGTTTTGAGATACAAATTCACAGTTTAATGGTTGCCCTCCAGTCAAGCAAAGAATTTGGTCATTATTGTTGATGAAAAAAATCAAATATAAAGAGAATTATTTATTAGAAAAAAATGCCCACATTTTCAGGAGGACTAGAAAACATTCTTGTTAAAAAATGAAAAACAACTTCACTATTAATTGTGTCCACTGAGACCTAGGCAGTAACAAAAACGCAACTGTAATATAATCGTTCAAATCAACCAAAACAATTACTAAAAATCAATCTACACATTATTCACAACAATATTCAGGTATTCTGAAATCCATGTTTTTAAACACATTATAAGCATTACTTGCTCATTTTCTATGAGCAGATCTTGCTATTAAAACAAGAAAGCAATTAGCTAGTATTCTTTCTTTTTGCTTTGGGAATTTTAATGGAAAATAAATCAACAGTTTTATTTTGAAAACACAAAATACGAATTCCTGAAAAATTCTTTTCAAAACAGCTACTGCTGGACAGCACACACTTGTGCGCTGAAAGCAACTTAAGTGATTCACTCTCTGAAGGGGATTCCTTCTAAAGGTCTTCCATGCTGGGTACTCAGCTATCAGCTTGAAGGAGGCAATGGACGACAGTCCATTTCTAAGGCTGACCATTTTGGGCACAGATATTTCTCTTGGCCAACTAACACCATACTAATGTATGTATATTTATTTATTTATTTTTCTCCCTCTCTTCACCACACACTAAAGGTAAACTTGAGCCAAGTGTGCGTAAAGAAAGTTTTATGACCTAGGTCCCTGCCTGCATCCTGCCTGTGATCACTGACATCAGCTAGTCCCTTAGTTTCTTTATAGGTTCTGTGCGAAACAGCTATACTGCCTAATCCACCAACAAAACACTTGTTCATTTCATGGATTTATTTTCAGTAACTGAGAATGAATTATTCATTATGGAAAATGGAGGAAGAGCTGAGAGGATGCTGAGGAAGCTGGTTCAACAGGAAACAGGGAATATGGAGCGGTGAACAGACAGGTTACCCAATAAAATCTCCGAGGCAGATGTTGGAGGGCTCAGCAGAGGACTTAGAGACTGGAGACCTCCCTAAAGTATCATGAAAAGTAAAGAAAAAGAAAGAAAAAAAAAAGTGAAAAGAGGCAGCAGAGTCTAGTCTTTCCAAGTTTTGTTTTTATTTTTTTGTTTTTGCTGTCTTGTAGACAGCAACCAGCTCCAGACAAAGAAATAAATGAACGAGTACAACATGCAGTTCAGATTCTTAATAGCTCCATATATTTGGATTATTCTACCTAGCTTACCTGGCCGTGAATGCAATAGCCAGTACACAGCCGAGGGATTCAACATGCACAAGACTTGCATATTCAAAGCACGTGCACTTAGGTATTAAGGTAGCCAAGGAGATAGTTGTGCTGCCTCTAGCTGATCCTCAGCACACAGCTCCTTGCTGCTGCATTTGGGTGCCTCAGCTTTTTGGCTCCATGTCACATTCTCATTTCCAGGTATACCCCATTTGTACAAAGCCCTCTCCTTAATCCCTTCAACTATTTGCATAACAAGAAAATCCAACTTTTGAAACTAGGGGGCATTTTAAACCACCCAACTTTCACTTCAGAAAAGGCCGAGGCAGAAGGGAAAGCAGACATATGTAGGCAGTGGCTTAATACTGAAAAATTAGCAAGTTGGAAGCAGAGCTCTGAATGGAGGTTACAGTCATTTGGGAGCAGTGCGAGTCAATGAAATTAGCACATTTTGCCCAAGCTGCCTGCCAGATACAGGGTTTCATAACACACCAATTCATTACTTGAGGAGATAGTGCTCTTCCTCTCATCAAATATTAACGATCGTTTCAGGAAGTTTAAAAAATTGTCTTCGAGCAACTTCTTACAGCCATTAATTAAAATAATGAGCACTATAATATTAAAACTGTAATTCTCTTACATGTCCTCAAGTGTTTGCCTAGAAGTCTCTTTCCTCAGGAAAAAGAAAGGGAAAAAAAAAAAAGAAAAAAAAAAAACACAGAGCAAATTAAAAAGTTGATCCTTATATTACTCCTGAGTAAGCCTGTAATTCTCGGCTGGCACAGATGCAAATTGTTTTGCTGCCTTCCTCCATCCGATGCCACCAAGCTCCTGTTGGCACCACGAGGCGCCATCCCACCCGTGTCCAAGACGCTGCGCAGCCCGTGCTGCTGACAGAGACCTTCCCGGAGGACAAGGGAGACGGGGAGCGTCTGCATGCCCGCCTTCGGCTACCTCTACAGAGCCACCGCTGTTGACACTTTATCCCTCATTTTTTGGTTCCCCTCAAGCATCCGGATAACATAAAAATACTGCCTGCTTTGGCCAAGCCGAGCTTTGCCACGCACCGAGGCGCAGCCTTGCGCTGCGCATTCAGACTGGTACGCGAGAGCGCCAGCGGCACAAACGAGAGCATCGCGGTGCGGTGCGGTTCGTGGAGGCTCGAAAAGGGGCACAGGAAGAGCCTCCAACCTCCTCCTTAACAGAGGTCCACTTTTATCATAAACATTCATCAGAACTACAAGCCAGGTATCTCCAAAGTCCAGACATTCACAATGTTCATCCAGCTTTACTGAAAGCATTCAGTGCTTTATTTCCTTTCCCAATGCAGTATCTCCAAAAGATGGCCTGAGAATTTTCAGTTCTAGTCCTGCGTGTCCTGGCGCTTGAAGTTCTTTTCTCCGAGACCATCATGAGTGTTTGGCTTTTCTCAGGTAAAGGATAAAACTGAATTTCAACCTTTCCCTCTTACAGAAAGTAGCAAGGACCTGACCCTTCTTTTCCTTGGTCTAGCTGGAGATGTTGCAGCCTGAACACTTAACATTTGACTCGTTTGGAATAAAAACTAGGATGCAGCATAGGTCAAAATTCAGCACCTAAGTACTGACTGAGGGAAACTGTTGTTTGTGTCCTTTTACCTTCTTTCCTCAGCCCCGTTTCCCACCTGTGGGTGCTGTTGAAGCCAGCCCCAACACTAAATCAATCCTCTTCCCCACCCCGCTTTAAGCTAAAAGATTTTTATATTTCAAACAGCAAGTGCTGCTGACAGCTGAAGAGGTGTTTCTGCTGTCCACTGGCAATGGGGGGAAGCTTGAGGCGGCATTACACAAAATTTAGTCATAACTGTTCATTTTCAGAAGTTTGTTCCAGAAGCGCTAGGATACAATAAGGCCACTTAAAGTCAGACAGTGACATTTTGTCATCAAACTCAGCTTTGCTAGTTCCAGCACAATGAGCTGCTCAGCACAGCTCCTACCTCTCATCAGTCCTGCCGCATTCAAATTACCTTTTAATTGTTTTACTTTAGCTCTTTTTGCTATCTTAATAATATCTAATATTTCTGGATAAAAGGAGAAAATAAAGCCAAGTAGCAGTCTGCATTAACATCACCTAAGGTGTCTATAATTATCTCTATTATCTCAATGACAGTATTAGAGAGAAAAGCATATTCATTTTCTTTCCATCTGACATGAAAATGACTGAATTATCATGATAAAGAATCACCTTCTAGTGAACCAAAGATCACCTTTTGGGGATGCAATGACAGGCAGAGGTTGCAAGTCTCAGCTGATAGAGAACTTTCATGGGCAAACAAAAGGGAAAAGTCAAGTCCTAATGTAATGATAATATAGGAAGCATTTTAGAAAGAAGTT